AACATGTTGGTCACGTAAACATGGCCGGCGCAGAAGATGCCATTGACAATTGCGCCAAGCGCGTTGAGGATACTTTTGGGATGTGCAAACTCAACGAGCACGCGCGCGCCATTTGCGCGGCGAGGTGCGCCAAGGACAGCGACGGCAACGTTACTCTTGACCAAGGCGAATACACAAAACAGCTCCGTCCTATCCAACACTACGAAATCACAGGCGCGGGCGCTGAGGCCAAAGCATCGAATATAGTCACTGACATGTTGGTTAACCTCAGAGGCGCTCTGGCTTACGCCCTTATCGCACAATCACGGTTCGCGATATGCGTTGCATCGTTGCAGCGCGTCCAAGAGCCGACGAGCATGCAAGCGCGACGACTCAGCGCGATTGCCGGGAGGTTGCAGGCTTGCCCTGAGAAGACCGTTCATACAGCGATAGCACCCGCAGGCGAGGTCGATCTGCAGAATGATCCCGGCTACCGTCGCTTGAACGGCGATGCCGATGACGAGGTCAAAGGCCATGGTTTTCGCGGGGCAAACCTGCGAAAGCGTGGACGCGCGCTTGCTGGCAAGCCTGTCGTCCATCTTGTCGACGCGCACTGCAAGTCTCACCGCTTGCAGGTCCGCTCCAGCTACCCAGCTGAAACACTAGCAGCAGCCCGTGACATGGAGAACTGTTACCCCGCGATTGATACGCCACACGAACTCCACGCATGGCCGCTGACATCCACCGTATTGAAGGATATTATTGAGATGGGCGGCCTCGGCCTTAAGGCCACCCTGACCACTGATGCGGGATATGTCTCCAAGTCCTTGTCGAGCAAAGACTTGAAGGAGCCGACTGCGTGCACCCTATTCGGTCACAACAGTTGGATACGGCAGATGATGGAGCGTTGCATCGTGCATGGTGCGCAGTGGCGTGGCACCCGCGACAAAACTGCAGATGGTCACACCAAAGGGAGCATTGACAGAGATATGCTCTCACAAGTCATGGAGGGAGTTCAATATTTCAAGCACGACTTGAAGCGACACGCTCCCTACAGGTCTGGCCAGTCGAAAACCATCAGATCCGCCCGAGGATTCGTCAGTTGCACGGTAACCTGCTAGCGTTGAGCCCGCTGGCTGTTGCCTTTCCTATGTAATATAGTTGTTTTGCCGCGTGAGGCTGGTAGCGGACTCACGCTTCGTCTTCTCCCCCCAGACTCTGAAGGAGGACGGACAAAGGCGAGAGGTATCGAGCGTTTATCCGCGGCCGTTTGGGCTCAAACGACCGGCCGCCCAGTTGACCAGGTCGCACAGCGGCCCGCCATCTTACACCGGACAGGAAAGGTTCCACCCTTTACTCTTGAGGTGTTCCCTCGCCGCTCACGCGGTCCTTTCCTGGCTTTGCCATTATCGTTTATACGATACAACAGGGTTGGACGTATACTTCGCCTTAGGCGATGTATTTGGTCGGGTCTCCCAACTGGCTGCAAACTGAGGGGTGCGGCGACATGGTGTGGAGAAGGTATGCGAGCGCTGCCACTGGGGCCTTCAGTAGGTGCGGGCCATCAGACGTGTGAGGGGTGCGCCGGCATGTATGCGAACGCAGCCACTGAGACATTCGGGGAAGCTCCCGATGGGACCACGAAGCGCGTAAGGGGTGCGACGAAACGGTGTGGGGCAGGTTTGCGGACGCAGCCACTGAGGCCTTCGGGGCGTCTCCCGTTGGGCCACGAAACGAGTGAGGGGTGCGCAGCCACTGGGCATTGGGCCACGAAGGGACTGAGGGGTGCGGCGGTGCGCCGAGGTGGTGTGGAGCAGGTCTGCGAGCGCAGGCACTGGGGCTGTCGGCATTTCCCGATTGGGCCACGGAAGGTGTGAGGGGTGGGCGGCATGGGCATCTGGAGGGCAGAGGAGGGAGTGGGAGGAGGAGGAGGAGGAGGAGGAAGAGGAGCAGGAGGAGGAGGAGGAGGAGGAGGAGGAGGAGGAGGAGGAGGAGGAGGAGGAGAGACGAGTCTGTCGAAGCCTCGTAAAAATCCGCGCGACCCTCACCAGAGGGTGGTATGAGAGGGCGGAAGCACCATAGATACCTCAGGTAGTCCAAATAGAGCACCTCGACCGGCCACGGCCGCGCGCCCCGGCAACGCGCTGCCGCGCCGAGAGGCCGTCCAGCGCTGGTGGCCGCCGCCGGGCAGGTCGGGCCAGCTGCAGGGGCCCCCTGGGCCCGGTGCCGCCGTGTGCGAGGGAGTCGCCGTCCGCTCTCCGCGCCGCGCCAGGTCGTCTGGCCGCGCGCGGCAGCCAGCCGCCGGCCGCCGCCCGACCCGCCGATCGCCCCTCCAGCGTCTCCAGTGGCCCCCGTGGGCCGACACGGGCTGCTGGGGTCGCCGCCAGCCCCACGTCGGCCCCAAGCGGCTGTCGGCGCCGCTCTGCGGTAGCCCCGCCGCGCCAGCGCGTCAGTCAGCTCGGCGGCTTCGCTAACCGGTGTCGAGCCGCGCTGCTGCCGCCGCCGCGGCGGCTCCGCCCGCTAGCCGGCGGCGCGCCGCCTAGCGCAAGCCGGCCGCCTTCCGGAGCTGGCGCGTTGTTGCCGCCTGCAGGCCGCAGGACAAGACCTTGTAGGCCCGCGCCAGCTCGTGCTGCTGCTCGTCTTCGGGCAAGCGCCGCACCTGCCCTAGCAGCCAGAGGCGGCCCTCGGCGCCGAGCCGCCCCCCCGCCTCGAGGACGAAGGGCGTCAGCCGGTCGCCGGGGTAGCGGGCGTGCTTCTCCCGCTCGCCGCGCCTGCTGGCCTCGCCATCCCGGCGCGCGGCCAGCCGCAGCTCGGCCTGCGTGCCGGCTGCAGGGTGGCGGACGGAGACGGAGACGTCGAGCCAATGGGTGCCGTCGTCGTCCTGGTACTGCAGGTCCAGGATCGCGCGCTCGAGTCTGCCGTCGGGGTGCTGGCGGTCCCAAGTCGGCACTCTCTGCTCAACGAGGGGCCGCTCGCCGCGCCAGCGGTGGAGGAGACCCCCGACCCTCCGGTTGACGCCCCCGTGTCGCGCAACCACGCCCCCGCCCACCTGGCAGGTCAGGGCATGGTAGCCGCCGTCGCCTAGTGCCCCGTGGCAGCCAGCGCCGTCGGCAGCGCGCAGGCAGCAGGCGGCCGGCGCGGTCGCTAGCTCCCGCTGGCTGAGCTCGGCGCGCGGAAGCTGCAGCCGCCGCCGCGTCCCTGCCTGCCAGAGCGCGTTTTCGAGGGAGCAGAGGTCGTTTTCCGGGTAGGACAGAAAGGCCGCGCTGCCGCTTCCGGCTGCGCCCCGCAGCTCGGCCTGTCGGGGAGGGGGCAAGCGTCGCAGCAGAGCTGCGCGCTGGGTCCTTTGCACCTTCTCCGTGGCCAAGCCTTGCTTCAGGGGCGTCTGCAGCGCAGTCGCCAAGTCCCCCCCCCGGCGCGAGCTCGAGCCCCTGGCCCTGCAGTCCGCGCCGCGCCGTTTTCAGCTGCTGGGCCGCCCGCGGCAGCCGCTCCAGGCAGTCAGCCAGCGTCGCGTTGCCCTGGTCCTCTGCGACCTCCTGCGCCGCGGCTTACCAGGAGGCGAGGAAGGCCGCGTGGCGCCGCGTGCCCGCCAGCTGCGCGCCGAGGCCTCCAAACCTGGCCGGGAGGCCCAGGAGCTCCACGGCCGCTTCGTCGAGGTCCCGTTCCAGGAGGTCCCTCCAGCAGCCCGTCAGCAGATCGTCGTATTGCTGCGTCGCGGAGTCCTGGGCGAGCTCCATCCGCAAGGAGTGCTGGCTCGCCGGGCCCGCGCAAGCGCGCAGGAGGGCTGCCGACCTCCCGACCCCGTACTGCCTGTGCCCGGCTGCGTCCCGGAGCTGCTCCTTCCGGGTCCGCGCCAGCGCTCGCAGACCCAGGCGTCGCACCGTAGATCCCACGATGAGCGGTCGCACGTCGTCGTCTCCCTTGCGCAGCGCCGTGACCTCCCCGGTCCGGAGAACACCCATAGTTCCCCCCGGGAGCATGCCAAAGGCGATCCACAAGACAGCTTCGGTGAGCCAGCCCAGGGTCTCGGAACACATTTTCGCCTCTGCTAAGTGCTCCAAGCGGCTGCCTAAAAGCCCCGGCGCTGAGAGGCGGGGTGGCTTCCGGAGCAGGCGCGCCGTCTTCTCCTGGACTTTCTCGAGTGTCTCTTGCGAAGGGTGCGGGATACCTTCCGCCGACGGCGCGGGCAGAGCCGTCGGAGGGAAACATTTCTTGATCTTCGTCAGCGTTTCTGGGGTGCGGAGCGCCAGTTTGCTGTTGGCAGTGGCCCGTAGTGCTCGCCCTTCCTCTCCAGCTGCTGCCAGGGTGTGGATCCGCGCCGCCTTCAGCTTGTCACAATTCCTGGCGGCAGCCATTGGGATCTTCCGCCCGTGGCGCACGGATGTCCACAGTGCCTCCCACTGCGCCCTCCAGAACCACCCCAGAACAACCCGCAGGAGGAGGAGGAGGAGGAGGAGGAGGAGGAGGAGGAGGAGGAGGAGGGAGGTTGGAAGGGAGGAATGAAGGACGCGGAGATTGTCTCTTCAAAACGAGGACCCAATTTACAGGATGGTTGGGGCTCAAACAGATTGCGGTGCTTGTTTCGCCAGCTTACCACGTCATTGGCATGCCACCAGACGAGAAGGAATGTATTGAGCTACGGTATTGTTTCTGGCATGCGTACTTCCACATTCCGCATTCGACATCGACTTGGTGTTGTTAGACTACCGAGGAAGTTCCGATTCGGGAAATGAGGCAGTGGTGGCGTGTCCATGTCAATGTGGATTATGTTGCGTTGTCCATGTGCCGGTGTGTATGCATAAAGTCTCAGGCGCTGATGCGCATGCATCGATTGGTTGTTGTTTACGATGCTGGCTCATCTTGCACAGAAGGAGCACGGCATGCATATGCAAACATGCATGTATGTGCCCAGGCGATTGCAGGTGATGGGGTATTCGTACGTCCATCGCGAGAGATTGTGTTTCCATATTTTCATTCTCCTCGGTCACAACATCTACTCTCTGCTTCCTCGTCTTGTCGTCCAGGAGCGCGTATCACGATCGGAAGGCCCTCAAATCTTTGGAGGAGCGTCGGCCCAGCTTCTCGGTATTGTCTGTGCTGGTATACGTGTCAAGCCGCCAGGGAGGGTTTAGCTGCATGGGAGTCACCGAAGTCGTCACCCGATATTTGGCAGAGCGAGCGGGATTGCCGTGCACAGACATTGTTAGCGCACGTAGCAAGGGCGCAGAGTTGTGTGTGAATATCCTTCGCTCGGCGTCTGTTGGGATGCAGTCCAAGAGTCGCGTCTGTAGTTCGGTAAGGGATCTGAGTGCAGCAGCTTGCACCCGCGAGGGAGTGGAAATCGTGCTGAGCGGGATGTGTGGCCGCGCGTAACATCATGTTTTTTTTTCAAAATGAAAGACGAATAGCGCAGCTCGTCCCTCGCAACTCGCCCCACAAACGCTTTACGACCACAAGTACTGTAGACATTTCGGTTGGTTTGTTGCTGAGTCATCCGTTCAACACTGAGGCTAAAGTGTTACAACATGTATTGTTGTCGTGCGAACGTGTTACCACACCCGCTTGCGGATCATGCAGCGCATCTCTTGTTTGTTTCTGGCGACGGGAGCTTGAACTATTCACCGACCATATGATAATGAGTCAGAATGGGGCGGGACGTTGTCGACCTTCTTTGGAAACCTATATCTATGATTATGCGCAGCCTCAACTGGCGATACTGTCTTCGAGCGCAGCAAAAAGCCTGGTACCCAGAAGTGCCCGAACGCTGTGAAGTCCCGTGGGCTGAGCATTGAGGTGAGTGGGTGTTGCAGTCACAGGACTGTGAATCCACAGTGGCCACCACGGTGAAACTTTCAAGCCAGACCTGCTGACACCTTCCCCGCGACACGCTGAGCCAGTTGGCGCCGCCATCCCCTGGAGGCTGCTTGTCGCCACTGTCGTGCGGTCCTGGGGGGCACGGCGGAGGTGAGGGCAACGCGGATCAGTTGGGACCTCGTTGTTCCGCCGCGGGTTGCGCGTTGCGCAGTTGTCGTCGCTTGTGTGAGCTCCTGAGAGGCACGGCGGAGGTGAGGGCAATGCGGATCATTTGGAACATTGGGGGACTTCGCGGCTCCGTCGGGGGCTGCGCACTGCGCAATTGTCACCACTTTCGTGGGTTCCTGCGAGGCACGGTGTAGTGCAGGGCAACGCGAGTCATTTGAGACCTCGCGGCTCCGTCAGGGGTTGCGAACTGCTGATGTCGTGTCCCTCCCAGGCTTGGCGTCCGCCATGCGACGGACACAGGAGTCCTGGCCTCTTCTCGGGCGCACTGCAGGGATAAACTAATGCCCACCGCCTCTCCCGATCCTCATTTCAATGGTAGCCGGAGCGTGGACCCAGGGAGAAGGAGGCAGGCTGCAGTCGCCGACGCAGCTGCTCATGGAGACGAGCCAGGTACATTCGTGTCTGCGACTGGGGAAGGCGCAGAAGGAGCAGAGCAACAGGAAGAGGAAGAGAGACCGCCCAACGGGAAAGACGAGTACGAGTGGAGTGATCCTTGGTGGGAAGGCTGGTGGGACAGTACCTCGTGGTGGATGCCGGGCGATTGCAGATTAGGTTGGAGTGAAGCTAAAGGTGTATCGGAGGGAAACCGTGATTTCTTTGCTCCTCCTCAGTTCTTGGGAATGGAACATTTAGAAGTATATTTGTCCAACCTGCGTTCGTGGTCCAAGAGGACCGGCTTCCTCCCAGAGACCCAGGCGGCGAAGGTGTTGGAATCTTATCCAGTGGAACTCCAGGGGAAGTTTCGAGGAATCCGAGAACAATGAGACGGCGAGTCCGGGATCCAGGTTCTGATAGATCACCTGAAATTGTTGAGCGGAGAAAACCTGGGGACCAAGAGCGCGAAGCTCATCACGCCGCTCTGTTTGATCATACTATACGGAAAGGAAAGACCCTGACAGAATTCGTGATCAGAAAGGATGCCCAGCTTTCTCGTGCCCAGACGTTCGGCTTGGACCTGCCAGATCCAATGCTTGCAAGGTTTCTGGAAGAAGGATCGCAGTTGACGGGCCAGATGAAGGTAAACCTCAGAACCCTGATTGGCAGTGCCATGTCGAGTCGATATGCGAGGAGCTCTCTGCTGAAACTTGACGTTACCGACAAATCGGTTCTTCCAAGACCACAGGTCTCCGGAACCAAGAGTTCCGCGACTGAGTAGCACGAAACCCCCGACAGCGAGGAAGAAATCAACATTTTCGAGGTTGGGTTTTCCTTGGAAGAAATTGCAGAGTTTCTCACGACTCTTGAGTCCCAGGATGGTTATGAATGAAAGTGTTCAGGTGTTTGCAGAATTGGCTGCCAGTAGGAAGAAGCGCACGTGGCGAAAGTCCAGACAGCGAAAAGCAGCCCGCAAAGTCGACCGGGAGTTCTTCGACTGAAAGCGCGCCTCTGGGACTGGACAAAGACGGATCAGCAAAGCAGACCTCGAACGTCGGACCAGATGCACGAACTGCGGTGAGAAAGGACATTGGCGGGAGGACTGTAAGAAGCCATATCGCTCCAAGGCTGATCGCATCCGGTCAGAGGGCGGCGGTTCTGCTTCCGGGACGGCGGGACAGGCCAAGCCATCATTCAGCTCCAGTGATGGATACTTCTTCTCGTTCGATGCATTCGGGAGGTCCTCCTCGCAGAACCGGGCGACCTTTCTAGAGCGGGCGAGTTCTGAATTAGGAGAGTGTTCAGGGGTCCAGCTAAGAGAGATGGAAGATCACGGGCTAATTTACACTGCGGCCGCACAGGCATTAACCGGGGAACTAGATCCAAGGAGCATGAAGGCGGCCATCGAGAAGAAGGGGTATGCCATTCACGTCAAATGCGAGTCGGATCTGCCGTTCGCGAACGGGGTGGGAGGCCGTGTTCGTCCTGTGGCTCGCGCAGCTGCGCCCCTGTCGTTTCACCTCTGCGGTGTCTTAGAGTTCTTGGCGTTGCCACATCCGTGTCCTCCTCTCATCCCAGCCGGTTTTCTCGATTTCCTGGGGGCAGCGATCAACGCGAAGGAAAACGCAGTGCAGTTCGGGGACGACGAGACTTCGAGGATCCCGAAGATGAAGCTCCCGTCCGGTTACCGCTCGATCTGTCTCGCGGGGAAGCCGAGCGACGATTTCAAGCTCCATCTGGACCTGAAGGCGCGGTTTCCCAGCTTTGTCAAGAACGTAGAGGACTCTAGAGATACGAAGACCTATCACGAGGGACAGAATGAGGACTTCTGGGAAGTTAAGCCCGGCAGAATCAGAATTCACCGCGCGAGGCCGAGGAGGCAGCTGATCAGCCCCGGAAGCCTGGCGGATCTCCCCACTGCGCTCGACCTGCTGAGCATGAGGCGCACCGCGCGTTGCCAGTTCAGAGATGAGAACGACATCTGGGTAAAGCATTTCTTCGACGACGAGTGGGATCTCTCGGAGAAGGGAATCCAGGTACCCGACTACTGGCGCGGGCACGCGGATTTCTACCTGGCGAGCGCTGAGAAGCCGGAGCAGGGCCCCGCGGCCCGGGCGGGCCGGCAGTAGCGCATCAGGTTTTCTCCCTCATTCTTCCCTCTCTTGATCGTCGCGCCAGTCGGGGCTATTCAGGGGATCGTCGAAGTCAGGCTCAGGCCTCCCTCTCCGTAGCCCCTTCTTTCGAACCGGAGCTTTCTCCGCGGCTGTCTTGCCGTGCTGAAGGGGCGCCCCGGGAAGGGCTCGATGGCAGTTCGATCCCAGCCACCCCTCGGAAGGAGCAAGCGACGCGTCGCTGGAGCGCTGGCCCGTGCACTGCGCAACGCGAGGCAGGCAGCGCTCCACCTTCCGGCGGAGACGCTGGGGACGGTCGACGAGGAGGGCTCCGAGATCGAGGCGAACTGGGACTTTCCAGCCGACTCATGGGAGGACGGGTGTCTCAGGAACTTAGATTACACTGGCGACGAGCTCAGCGAGGTCGAGAAGGGCCTACTGAACGAGGGCGGGTACCTCCTGACTCCCATGACCCATCGCTGGCGTCGCTCGGCGCTGACGCTCCTCGCGATGCTAGCGGCGCGCGCAGAGTCTCGTTTGCTGGCCAGTCTCGCCCCCCACCCTTGGCGGCGCCAACAAGCTGAAGGTCAAGGAAGAGAACTGCGACCGCCCAGCGATGTCCAGATCGAGCCACGCCAACCAGCGCGCTCGATGGGTCAACCGTCGGAAGTGCGGAACTCGCTTGCATACCTGCAAGCCGACGGAGTCAGAGAAGCAGCAGATCCATATCAAGAAGGAGATCGCCAAGAGCGAGTACAGCAGAGACAAGCAGGAGCAAGAGTACATCAGACTGGCCACCAAGGTGCGGAACCAGGACTACTTGCAGAGCGTCGAGCCGAGCGAGAGACCTCCACACGTTCCGGGGCCCTCTTCTAGCCAGGGACCCCGGCGCCCAGCGGCGCCGAAGCTGAAATTGAGGTCCGTTCTAGAGATGATTCCCGTGAAGCCTCCGCCCGCGGCTATGAGAAATCCTCCACGCCCGACTCATCGCGGCCCGCAAGAGTCCGCCGGCGGCCAGGCGCGGCCCCGAGCTCGAGGCACTCCTTAAGAACCACGGGGACAACGGGGCCGAGATAGCCCAGTGGATGCACGAGCAGCGCCGCGAGTCCGAGATTACGAGGACCCAGTTCCGAGAGCCGATGGAGATGCTGAGGGGCAGTCTGTCCGGAGCGGCCAGCAGTCAGGGCCGTCCAAAGGTCGCGATGAAGGGCGGGGATCAGCGACGACGAAGAAAAGGTGGCCCTCCAGTCCAGAGCGAGATCGATCAGCCCGGGAAACGCCCGGGCACTTTCATATCCGAGAGGAGCTCCGTCGCCGACGAGAGCCCCTGCATGCCGCTGCCGAGCGAGTCCGTCCGCGCATGGCAAAATCAAGAGGCAAGAGGGCGTTCATCCTTCCTCATCGTTCATCACCTCTTCCTCCTCCATCTGGGCCGTTTTCGACTTGCCTCGGGGACTTCAGGGGGCCGCCCCTCAGAGGCGCGGTTCCCGAGAGGACGGATCCAGGGGCGCGGGCCGTGAAACGATTTCGGGCGCA